TGCAGTAAATATATGTGTTTATTAACAAGTATGTAAGGTGAAGTGATTCCAGTATGTTTTTAAAAGTTTTAAACATTTTAAAAGTCTTATTTTTCATGATTATTGTGATAATATTGTGTTTTTTAGCCAAGATAATCGGGACATGAAATTTTCATATCGCCCAATGCCTTCACACGATGCACTTGACAGCTGCATAAATGTGTTTATTTATTTATTTAAATTTGTTTTTGGGGTTATTTGCCTTTATTGAATAGAACAGCTGAAGATCGACAGGATAAGGGGGAAGATTGAGAAGAAGAATGAAGAGAGAGACAGAGAACAGAGGGAGAGAGAGAGAGAAGAGAGAGAGAGAGAGAGAGAGAGAGGCCTCAGGTTGGACCCAGACAAGTGGCCACTGCAGCAAGGACCGAACCCCAGCAGATGGACACCAGGTCCACCATGTGAGCCATAGGGCTCCACCATAAATGTGTTTTTTATTAAAGATGCTGAATTTCAGCATCTCTTTCTTTCTTGTTACTTATTTCAACCCATGAGTACATTCACAACAGACTCCAGTTGGATGCTGAGTGGAACTGGAATGACTTATTATATATAAGTCGTATAGCTACTCTCTTCTATTGCTTTGATTAAATATCCCCTCGATAGATAGATAGATAGATAGATAGATAGATAGACTTTATTAATCCCCGAAGGGAAATTAGGTCGTCATAGCAGCCAGGTAAATTAAAAGCAACAATTTAGCTTAGTTTATTTATTATTTTAATTGTGCCTAAAAGATAAACCAGTTCACACAGGTAACCACATTAATGTGTTTTTCACTCATTTCCTATCCTATAAACCAATGTGTTTAGGATTACATTGTTCCACAACAGTTTTCATAGATACTATCCTCTTATTCTGCTCAAAAATGCTCAAATGTAAAATAATCTCCCGGACCCCTCGAGGTCCGAATGGGAAACACTGGAGCCTCAGATAATAAAGTCCATAGATGTCGTTGTTATTATAAAATGTGATAATATAATCTCAAGGCTGCAGTATACATAATCGATGTTCAATTAAGGCGAAAGAATGATAAAAGGTGTAGAGTTATTTAAAATGAGACAGATAGGGTCTTGTCATGATGTGCAGGTTATGTTTCCACATTTCATAGGAGCTGCAACGAGATACGCCTTCGATCATACCCTCTGAGCTTAATCCTTTAGGCAGCTGGGAGTGGTTGGGTGGATACAGTCGATGAGAGATACAGTGTAGGCTCTTTAAGTATAAATAAAAGAATTTTTATAATTAAATCTAATAAATGGATTAATTACGACTTTTTTCACACGAGAGAGAGACTACACCGGTGAGAACCGGCTTGGCTGAAGGGGTCGGCTAGATCCAGAGCAGACTTCCCATCAGTGTTTTTGGATGTTGGATTCCGGCTCCGTGTTGCAGTAACACTGAGAGAGAGAGAGAGAGAAGGAGAGAGAGAGGAGAGACAGAGACAAGAGAGAGAGAGACACAGAGAGAGACAGAGAGAGAGAGAGAGAGAGAAGAGAGGGAGAGAGACAGAGAGAGAAGAGAGACAGAGAGAGAGGAACATAGAGAGACAGGAGAGAGAGAAAGAGAGAAGACAGAGAGACAGAGAGAGGGAGAGAGACAGGACAGAGAGACAGAGAGAGAGAGAGAGGAGACAGAGAGAGAGAAGAGACAGGAGAGAGAGAGACAGAGAGAGAGAGAGACAGAGGGAAGAGACAGACAGAGAGAGAGAACAGAGAGAGAGAGAGAGCAGAGGAGAGAGAGAGAGAGACAGAGAAGAGAGAGAAGAGAGAGAGAGAGAGGAGAGACGAGATAGAGAGAAGAGAGAGAGACAGAGAGAGAGAGGAGATAGGGAGAGCAGGAGAGAGAGACAGAGAGACAGAGGAGAGAGAGAGACAGAGGAGGAGGAGGAGAGAGAGAAGACAGAGATAGAGAAGAGACAGAAGAGAGAGAACAGAGAGAGGAGACAGAGAGAGAGCGAGAGAGAGAGAGACAAGAGAGAGAGAGAGACAGAGAGAGAGAGAAAAGAGAGAGAGAGAGAGAGAGAGAGAGAGAGACAGAG